GTTTTAAGAGTTGGATGGATAAATACTGGTTGGATTTGGAGGAAGATCACTCTACAAATACTACTATTGGAAGCACCAGCTTGTTTTTTCTTTTTTCATCATTTGTTGCAATTAATGCACAAGGCATCTTTGAGTATTCTCTTTTCAAATCTTCCATGTTCAATTATAAAACATGGTTAGTTGAGGCAATTGGCACTGCGCTTTGGGGTGTCCGGTTCCATATGTTCTATCCCAATCCCAAAGATAGCTCACTACCCTCTACAAATAACAAAAGAATCAATGGTTTGATATTAATAGTTGTAAATGTTGCACAAGGGATTTTCACATTTGCTCTTACCACATATCCCATGGCAGATTATAAAGATTGGTTATTTGCACTGATTAGTTATCTTGTTTTCTGTTTTTTGATACGAAGCTTGTTTCCTAAAGATTTGTCACCTCCCTCAACAAATACCAAAGGAATCTCAAGCACAATTTGGTCATTGTTATCTATCACAAAATACAGTATTATGGTGTTGGCTGGTTTGGAACCCCGCATGCAGTGCAAAGAATGGGTGATTGTAGTAATCTGTTATGTGCTTTGGTGGGTTCGGTTACGTACATCTTTTCCTAAAGATCTGTTACAATTCACCACAGTTGAATTTAAAGCTCCACAGTTGTGGAAACTAATGGTACATTCCGCAATTATAGATGTCATACCTTGGATCCAACTGTTTACAACAACGCATCATCAACAACAAGGATGATAATCTTGCATACTAAGTGGTAAGTACTTGGATATATGGTAATTTTTATATTAATTCCAATATCATTTTCTTTTTTAGGTTTATGTTTATTATATCCAGTATCCTTATTAAAACCCAGTGATCATCTGTAATCTTTTAGTCATTTGTGTTTTTGTTAGTTTAAATTTATTGCAACTGGCCTTTTGTTATGTAGATATCAAATGGCAAGCCTTTATCTTATTTTTGGTACATCTGATAATGATGGACTATACAAGAAAGGATAACTTGTTTTTTCCCTAAATCCCTCCTCACCTAACTTAAGATTTGAATTTGAGATCTCCAACTTGAAATCTCCAACTCTCAACCATTGAGCCACCACCTTAGAGGTACCTTTATCTTATTTTAAGATGAATGGTCTTTTACCATTTAATTCATACATACATACTAATAAATTGGATTCTCCACAAATTAACCCACGTCTTCATCTTCATGGGCAGAATCAATGAGAAATCAAGTGTAGGACCTTTTTTTTTTTTTTTTTTTAACCTTAACTCTAAGAATTTTTTCTTACAAATCACATTGAATTCTTGAACGGTCCATTCAGGTTCTTCTGTTTATATATTTATTTATCCCCGGCCAGATGAAGTTTCCCCTGCTATTTCAATACTGTGCAGAACAGAAGACTAATTAAGCCATCAAAAAGGCGGTTTTCAGTGTATTGAAAGTGTATAATAAAAATATTGTCTAAATTTAATAATATTTTAATTATTTTAATATTTAAATTACATTTTTATCACATACCAACCTAAAAAATATGAAATTCTTAAGCCATACATATATATATATATATATTGGA